AAAAGGTACTAAAAGTTATACCAGAATTTTTTAAAGTCCAGAAAAGTTACAAAAAGGTACACTAGTAAAGTTTAAGTTTAAATTAAGGTATCGAAAAGTTATAACTTTTTTGTACCTTTTATCAGGAGTACAAAAAAGTTACTGAAAAGGTACGAAAAAGTTATACCTATTTGTAACTTATTTCGGTATGGGGAGGTTCTTATACCAGTATATATCAGCGATGGAGGTTCTTATGCCTGTATATCAGTGATGGAGGTTCTTATACCTGTATATCAGTGATGGAGGTCCTTATACCTGTATATCAGTGATGGAGGTTCTTATACCTGTGTAAACAATCAAGTTAAATCTAGATATCCACTCATTGTTTAGTACAACTATATGGACAAGCAAATAAAATAAAGAATTTAAATAAAAATGCAGTTCCATCCTTGTAAAAATTGTAGCTTTGGCACTAGACTTTTGTATAAACTGAATCTAATCAAAATAATTTGTAAAGGTTTCTGTTGTAGCTTCCATGACTTATTCTACCTTGACCTCATCACTTTGTAGGGAGATCCCATATCCAGATTGCCTTGCTGTACCATTACAATACATGCTCCATATTGTAGAAACAGAATCCAATCCTATTTGCACATGTTATGCGATGTGTCTGAAACTCCAGAGTAATCACAGGAGTATACGTCACAGCATAATGGAATTACAACATTACAAATTGTCCTGGGAACTACAAATATCCCCATTACCGGGAACTGTTCTTGGAACACAAACATTACTACACTAGGTCAGCAAAGAGGTAGATTTACAAACAGACACATGTATAAAACATGCTAAAATATGTCTGTCCCATCTACAAGCATATTTGTCCAACCATTGTCTGTCAGTCCTACCAGTATGTCTGTCCTTCTATTGTCAGTGTCAGTCTAAACTACCAGTATGTCTGTCCTTCTATTGTCTGTCAGTCCTACCAGTATTTCTGTCCTTCTATTGTCTGTCAGTCTAAACTACCAGTATGTCTGTCCTTCTATTGTCTGTCAGTCCTACCAGTATGTCTGTTCCACCACTGTCTGTCAGTCTGGACTACCAGTATGTCTGTTCCACCACTGTCTGTCAGTCTAGACTACCAGTATGTCTGGCCCACCATTGTCTGTCAGTCTAGACTACCAGTATGTCTGTCCTTCTATTGTCTGTCATCCCTACCAGTATGTCTGTTCCACCATTGTCTGTCAGTCTAGACTACCAGTATGTCTGTTCCACCATTGTCTGTCAGTCCTACCAGTATGTCTGTCCTTCTATTGTCTGTCAGTCTAGACTACCAGTATGTCTGTCCCACCACTGTCTGGCAGTCTAGACTACCAGTATGTCTGTTCCACCCCTGTCTGTCAGTCTAGACTACCAGTATGTCTGTCCCACCGCTGTCTGTCAGTCTAGACTACCAGTATGTCTGTTCCCCCACTGTCTGTCAGTCTGGACTACCAGTATGTCTGTTCCACCACTGTCTGTCAGTCTAGACTCCCAGTATGTCTGTTCCCCCATTGTCTGTCAGTCTAGACTACCAGTATGTCTGTTCCACCACTGTCTGTCAGTCTAGACTACCAGTATGTCTGTCCCACCACTGTCTGTCAGTCTAGACTACCAGTATGTCTGTTCCACCATTGTCTGTCAGTCTAGACTACCAGTATGTCTGTTCCACCACTGTCTGTCAGTCCTACCAGTATGTCTGTCCTTCTATTGTCTGTCAGTCCTACCAGTATGTCTGGCCTTCTATTGTCAGTGTCAGTCTAGACTACCAGTATGTCTGTCCCACCATTGTCTGTCAGTCCTACCAGTATGTCTGCCCTTCTATTGTCTGTCAGTCCTACCAGTATGTCTGTCCTTCTATTGTCTGTCAGTCCTCCCAGTATGTCTGGCCTTCTATTGTCTGTCAGTCTAGACTACCAGTATGTATGTCCTTCTATTGTCAGTGTCAGTCTAAACTACCAGTATGTCTGTCCTTTTATTGTCTGTCAGTCTAGACTACCAGTATGTCTGTTCCACCATTGTCTGTCAGTCTAGACTACCAGTATGTCTGTTCCACCACTGTGTGTCAGTCCTACCAGTATGGCTGTCCTTCTATTGTCTGTAAGTCTAGCCTACCAGTATGTCTGCCCTTCTATTGTCTGTCAGTCCTCCCAGTATGTCTGTCCTTTTATTGTCTGTCAGTCTAGAATACCAGTATGTCTGTTCCACCACTGTGTGTCAGTCCTACCAGTATGGCTGTCCCACCATTATATATGTATCTTTGTCCTAATGGTACATGTCCTTCCATTTTCCATCTGTTCTATCCAGAATGTCTGTCTATGATTAGTAGAACTATCTGTCTATCAGTACAACTTTCTGTCCTATCAGTATACCTGTCTGTCCTAATGTCTATATATCCTACCATTGTGTATGTCTGTCCTGTATTACTCCCGGTTCTTCCAGTATAACTGTCTGTCCATATTCTGACCAATAGACTGCAGTGTCCCATATGGTGTCAGACTAGACAGGTTTCACTGTTACATGTCTGTCTCATATGTTTAGTACTGGGCCTCACTATGGTAACTGTAATTCTAGTGTCTGTATATGCACATGAAAGCTTGGAATTCTGGGACATTTACTATGGTCAGATTTACATTCCCTACAGCTTGAACATCAAAGTATCATGGTGAAACTGCTGCATGGAGTAATAAAATACACAGGATGAAATTACTCAAATTCCTGAAAGTGCAGGTGTGTATTTTCACAAGCATTTTATCTGTAAAGGGTGTCATGTCACGCATGTTAACAAATAAAGTCAGTCACTTCAATTATGTACATGGACATTTGTGCATGTTATGAAGCAATCAAAAAGAAACATTAAATAAAATAAATGTACTGTGTTTGAGTCTTACTGTATAACAGTACACATAATCTGAACATCGACCCATAGGAGAAATAGGAGTCCTGACAGCAGTTATCAGATTTCCTATACCATTACTTACTACTGATGCATTTACTGTGGTCGTGATGCAAGCTAAGTTAAACTTACTAAACTGGGTTAATCACTTACGAGTATATGAATTTAGCACTTGTTTGTTATATATTAAATGACTTAGACATGCATTCATTGATAAATGCCTTATTTCTACATATCAACTTCAAATTTTGAGGAATAAGGTACATGTACATGGGGACAAGATGAAATCTCTATATAGCTAACTCTCAACAGAAAACCAAGCCCAGTGGCTACGGTAGTCTATACATGGTACCGACATGTACTCGGCGTTAAAAAGACCTATGTCACAAAACAAAATCTGGACAATCCTATCACCTGAATGTCTTCATTCCAAATGGAAATGTAAATTGACATGTTTGTCATGGTGTCAAAGACTTTAACATTGCAAGCTTCAGACTGTCCACCATGGGGGTACACTGAACATATCTGAGACTGAAGTCAACACACTTGTCTAGTTAAGATAAAAACATTATGCACGTCTAAGAAGTTTCATGAAATATAAATGTTGACCATTCAAGGTTATTGACTGAAGACATTACAATAGTTTGGTATTTGACCTCTTGGTGTGACCTTGAGATTTTTATAACATACTATTCAGTCATGATGCTTTCATCAAAGAAATTCAGCTGTTCAGATGTTATGCCCAAGACAAGAATTAGAAAAGGACTGATCCAGAGACACGTGCTGAACAGTCATCTTGTACCCCTGGTTAACTGGTAGAGAACTACATACCTTGTGGCTATACCTGTCCACTTCCTGTTTCCTAAAAACAACATTCTATCATAAACTTGACCATGTCAGAATCACAGGACCTTCATTCTCTGACCCCAAATCAATACTGTCATCCTTTGAAGTTAGCTTAGATTCTCAGCAACTCTCATACCCAGTAAATACATCAAATCACACACTATCCTAAGCAAGAAGTCAAGTATCTTCCCACAAAAATGGTCCACCAGGCTTGTAGGAGCTGTGGAATCAATAACTTATAAGTCTTAACAATCAAACAAATGATGCATTTGACCTTTGGTTTGACCTCAAATGTGACCTCAAAATCAATATGATTAGCAACTATAACAAAGTATGATTGGCAGTGGAGTTGGATACTCTCCAGATATAGTATGTGGTTTAAAAATACTGAATACCGATATATTTCAATATCAAGTCATTTACAGTGAAGACAGTTCAAACCGTTTTCAAATTTACCCCTGCCTTTTCAGTTGTGAATCATTGC